TAATTTTTTACAAATTGAACTTTATATCTGAAAAATCGTATGATGGCCCCACGTTGGGCGCCAAAATTTATGTATAGGTATTTATATTGTATACATACACATAAATAGATGTATTAATAAGTGTAAAATATGAATATACTATGAATTTATATGTATTGTTAATTGTCTATTTTTCTTTATTAATACAATTAAAGTTTTGTTTTATTTTAAGTTTTATAATAAGTAAATAAAAAATCTTAAATTTTCAATTTTGACTTTACTTACTTTAATTTCTCACTGGGGCCAAACTCCTCATCTCAGATAGCAAGTTCACACATACATATTGTAATCTATTTTTATTATTATTATTTCTATTTATATATGTCAATTTTTTTTTAATTTGATAGTTGATTAGGTATTTATTATTTAGAAACGTCACTATTTATTTATTCTGATTACTAATCTTTAAACTTGTTATAATTGTTACTAGTTTTATTTTATATTTCAAAACTTATCGTTTGTTCTACAAGAATGGAAAAATATTCGTACTAATGAAATTTTTTAACTATGCAAACTTTTATTTAATGCAAATTTAATTTCTTTTTGTTTGATAATTACATTTTTCTGACATATGGAAATATCTGACAGATTATATAATTTAATTTCTAAAATGACAGATAAAACAAATTTATATTTTTACAATTTTTCTACTAACCTAATCTTATCTATATTTCCACTTTCTGGACTATCCAAATCTGCCTAATCCCAAATGATGCTCTGCTTCGTTATAAATTAAACCATCGATGTTTTTTTTCTTGCCTATCACGTCTCGTTATCAGGGGCTTGATTTTTGAAAACAGGAGAACTGATTCTCAAGAGAAAAAATTCACCTGACAAATTTCTCTTAAAAACTTAAACACTTATTTTTGAACGTTGAAGGAATCCAATTCTCTAGAGAATTTAATTTATGCCGTATGTCGAGGATATATTTGCAACTGTCCAATCAGCGGGCAGAGTTTTCTTCAATATTTTAGTGCCATTATTGGCGACCCTGATGTTTGTCACTTGATTTGATTTTGAAATTTGTTTTGTAAATGTCATTATATTCGTCAGGGAGACTAGACATCTCCGTGATATTTGTAGTAATTTAATATAACTTCAATTTGAATGGAAGTATATTTGAAAACACAAAAAATTTAATATTATTATGATTATGATGAAGCGTTCGTTCACGTCGAAAGCGCAAAAAAGAAATTAATATGCTTAGAAACAACGAAAAACTTTTAAAAATGAAAGTTTTCTTCTACTTTCACTCACAAAAAGGCCCAAAAACAGTGGTCAGATATTGCTGAAACTTTAAATGGTTTAATTAATGTTATCGCGGATGGTTTACAATTTCTGCAGCTTGCAAATTATTCATTATATTTAGAATTAATAATAAATTATTTGGATCCATTACAAATTTCAAATGATTACGCACCTTCGAACAGCGAATGAATGAAGTGACAATTCGCGCATGAGCATGAGATGACATTTGGATTCAAACTATTCGGAGAAAACGCCAATTCCCCCGACAAAACCCTGTGGAATTATTTCTCTTGATATCTAGAGAAAATATTCCACAAGAAAATTTCAAAAATCACATTATCTGTGTGTCAAGAGAAAATGACGTAATTTTCTCTAATGAACTAATTCTCCTGTTTTCAAAAATCAAGCCCCAGGTTAGAACTTCCACAAATTACTCTTCTTATTTTTAATAAAATATATACTTCAACACACTATTGTATGCTTCTTTTACTTTGACCTCTTCAGCTTTCCTTTTATAGATACTGTTAAAATGCTTCTTTCTATTATATATAATTGCCTTCTAATTAATTCTTCTATAATATTTTATATCTTTAAGTTTTTCTTCAAAAACTCTCCTCTCAAATTTCTGTTTTGAC